GTGGGACACTCTTAGGAAACTCTTGTGGGACACTCTTCTAGGACACTCTTGTGGGACACTCTTGTGGGACACTCTTGTAGGACACTCTTGTGGGATACTCTTGTCGGACACTCTTAAGGGACACTCTTAAGGGACACTCTTGTGAGACACTCTTGAGCGACACTGTTGCGGGACACTCTTGTGGGACACTCTTGTGGCACACTCTTGTGAGACACTCTTGTAGAACACTCTTGTGGGAAACTCTTGTGGGACACTCTTGTGGGACACTCTTGTGGGACACTCTTATAGGACACTCTTGTAGGACACTCTTGTGGGTCACTCTTGTAGGACACTCTAGTGGGACAGTCTTGTGGGACACTCTGTGGGACACTCTTGTGGAACTCCTTGTGGGACACTCTTGTAGGAGACTCTTGTGGGACAGTCTTGTAGGACACTCTTGTGGGGCACTCTTGTGGGACACTCTTGTAGGACACTCTTGTGGGATACTCCTGTAGGACACTCTTAAGGGACACTCTTTTGAGACACTCTAGTGGGACACTGTTGCGGGACACTCTTGTGGGACTCTCTTCCAGCTCGCCAGATACTCCGCGTACTAAAGTTGTAGGTCGCCAGTTCTCAGCTTCCAGCTCCCCAGATACTCCACGTACTACAGTTGTACTACAAGGTCGCCAGTTCTCAACTTGCAGCTCCACCGGACAAATCGCACTCTCGCCTGCATTTCGCGCACTCGACACGCACGATCTCCGCAGAGGGTTGCGCGCGCATGGGACAAATCGCACTCTCGCCTGCATTTGGTGCACTCGACACGCACGATCTCCGCAGAGGGTTGCGCGTCAAGTCTCCAAAACGAGCGTTTCGTACGAGACTTCCTCAAAAACTCACACGTCAAAGTCTGCAAAACGAGCGTTTCGTACGAGACTTCCTCCAAAAGTCAAGCGGAAACACCCATCGGAGCACACACACATCACGCAGCCCTGCCAAGCAGTTTCGCGATTCCAGCCCCTCCAAACAACATCCGCTCACACGCCAATCCCAATGGGACAGCGACATTCACCTCTACCACAACTCACAACCTCACGATTCCCTGCGCCTGCCACGAATCTTTCCCCATCCACACGTCTAACGCGCACAAAGTACTGCGCCTGCCACGAAATGTCACCTCCCTCACACCTCGCAACCTCACGATTCCCTGCGCCTGCCACGAGAATTGCACTTCCACGCTTCAAAGCCCGCACGAAGTCCTGCGCCTGCCACGAAAAGTGACAATATCATCGCATGTGAGCTTCAACAAAATTTGCACCACCCCACACGTTTGGAATGATTTCGACCCGTTCAGAGCACACTCCCATCCATCAAAATCGCCATTTCAGCTGAGACTTGTCACGAAAACAGAGCTTCGATGCCGCACCCTGAAACGCAAATCCCAATGGCGCGGCCACATCCAACACGCCAAAAACACGACTCTCCAAACGCTAATCCCAATGGAACTGCGCCGTAATCTGCGGATCTCACAAAACGCTGCGCCTGTGCAGCGAAGTGCATCACGTTTCTTGCGCGACATGTCCGTGTCACGCAAATCACAATGGAATAGCGGCGCAAACTGACACGTGACACATCCATGCAAAGTCACTTGCAAAAGCTTCCCCCAATGGCAGCAAATTTGAGACGCGACGACGACGAGAGACGACGAGAGACGACGAGAGACGACGAGAGACGACGAGAGACGACGACACGACGCAAGCCATGCAAACACAGGTCCAACCCCCAGACCCCCAACTATAAACGGGAACCCTTCGCTACGCATTCGGGAAAAAGCAACTTTCACAACGTGCAGCAACTGAGCCCCTCACGTTCCTTTTCGGCCTTTCACAGGCGAGCGCGCAGAATACATGCTTGGGACAATCTACCGTGACTTGCCAACGAAGATTGCTTCCATGGAGTGAATGCCAATACACATGATTGTCATGTCATCATATCATACATCATATATCATATATCATCATATATCATATATAGTATATCATATATCACATATCAATACATATCATATATCATATCATATCTACATTGTGTACTGCCTCTAAGGCTGGGTTACGGAAAATCCCACAACGGCTTTCACTGCTGCCGCCGCAACGGCAGTCACTGGCGGATTGGCCTACTACTGGAAGCTTGGACATGCTGAATTGGGGATGAGGAGCTGGGTACCATCAACCAACAACAGTTGTTCAGCAAGACGGAAGTGCGATGAAAGATAGACAATCACAAGCAAATGTGTCGAAAAAGACTAGACCAAATCAAGATGTCTGAAAGCAACCTCTCTTTGTCCCCTTGCGGGGTGAGGATCTTTTATATTGGTTTTCCCTTGTTTCCTCTTTTTCAGGATTGAAGCTCCAAAGTGCTTTTGACATATGGGGAGCGAAAGTGCACCAAAGCTGGACAGGTTGGTACACATTGGTACCATGCTTTACTCCATTGTCGCATGCTTTCCTTTTTCAAATCAAGGTACCGCTCCAGAGGACGTCCTTCTGAGCGGGTGGTGGACGACACGGTGCTCCATGCAATCAATCGCACTGCGAAGGCAGGGTGACACGGTGCAACCTAATAGCGATGGCCTCCAACCCAGTAGCGATTTTCTCAGATTCGCTGTCCATGCTTGTCCTGATATTGAACCATGAGCGATGATTGCACAGGAGATAGAACAGAAAGTCGCTCAGCTGGCTTTGTACGGCCGGTAGGGCGGAACGGGCACGAGCAATAGAAAGATTGATCATGTTCCTGGACCTGGGATTGGCCGAACCAGGACGTACACTCCCGGTCACTAACTTGGCAGCTGAATCGCAAAAATTGAATTGGTTTTGGCAACCAGTCATTAATGTCTAGAGGTCATGCTGGTGGGGCATCGTGAGGAAACCCTCAGAACATGGCAGCAATCTACACTCTGACAAGACAAGAAGCAAAGGCATTCTCACTGGAAGTCTTTCCATGGCATCATCTCGATGGTGTGAGGTTCATGGCTGAACTGGAACCAAAACAGAATGTTTGTGACAAATCACACGGCTTGCCAAGGCATCCAAAAAGAACAAGTTAAAGTATGCTTTGGAATTGGTAAAACTCATACAGTATCACCGCTTCAAAACATCAAACATGAGTTCCCAGATGCTCCAGACAGCCAGCATGCATTTGGCATGCAGCCTTGATCCAACAAGGCTCCATCAATGTTCACTAGCATGGAACTTTGTGAATTTGGAAAAGAAGGCCTGTGTTACATTAACAAAGAACCTGCGCAAGAGTCGGCCGACTTCCTTGTTGATGAACAAAATTGTGGTGTTTGAGAATTCTGCCACCTTCTATGTTAGTGTAACTTTGGTGTTTTCCACCTGTTTTTTTTCTAACGTGGCAGCTGAACCTGCAAAATCTGACATAGGGAAGTCAATACTAACATGGCAGTCCAAAATAGAAACATGGTCGCTCTGTTGCCTGTGGAGTGGTTAGATCTTGACCCTGAGTGCTGAGGATCCAAACTTAAATGCAACTATGGCAGTATCGGAGCTTCAAGCAGCGCGTGGTGCTGCGCTTCAGGCAGCTGCAGAAGGCGGGGCGACGCAAATGCTGCTTTTGCCTGGACGTCGCAGCTTCTCACTTTCACTCTCAGGTGAGTGCAACCTGACTCACTCTGGAGCCACCCAGCTTGATACGTCCATGCCGTTGAAGATCCTTTGTTTGTGTATTCCAACAGCGTGACAGCTTTATTGGGTTTCCTGCTGGTGTAACACCCAGTCCACTGTCACTGCAAGTGTTCCATAGAGTAGCATAGAGAACTGAGGAACAACTTTCAAAGAAGCGGCTTGAGCTTTTGCTGCTAAGACACCAGCAGGCACGTATCATGATGACCACAGATTGAGAATTGTGCTTTTGGTCAGGGTTGATGGTCGAACTAATCTCGCATCCTTTGCAACTTTCAAGCGTCGTAGCTGTTCCGGCTATGTACCCGGCCACTAAAACTGATAGGCATACTTCGTCCGATTTGACAACAAGGGCTTTCCAAGCTTAGTATATAGTGTCTATTGACCATATGAGGGTATACCAGTAAAAGCTTGAGTGAGTTTCGGTTTCGATCCTTGTGCAGATGCTGAAAAGATGTGCACTTTTGGTCTGGACTCCATGTGTGAAGGGACTGTTTGCCAAGCTAGGCCGAGGAAACAAAGCTTGCGCCGCTTACTGCAGAGTCCCGAAGCTTTGACAGTGAGAATCATAAAAGATCATAAAAGAGACAGGTCTAATAGGTGGTCAGTGGTTGTGTTGGCACTGGAGCATGGCGTAGGATTAGAGATGCTAATCCTCAGAAGGTCGTGCTTCCTCTAATGCTGCATAACACGTTGTATTTAAATTGATATGACAATCATGGCTCCAAGCACAAACCTCGAGGAGTGTGAAAGCTCAAGGCTGCACTTGCATTTTTTTGTTGGGATGATTGTGTGCTCGATACTGAACGCTTGCACGCCAAACACCCTCGTTTAAGCCACTGATTTTTGATGATTTTTGAATTGGAGTGTGTCTCGAACGCAATCCACATCACCTTGCCGTTGTCCAAAGGTGTAACGGCATCAAGAAGGACTTATCCTGGGATGGTCCAGCAAAGGTTCTTGGGCATGTTGAGCGCCAATGTTTGAGGTTGAATTGTTTATCCTCCACGTGGTGAGTTGCAGGCTTTTTGTAGCTCTTGCGGTTCAACAGCAGGGTTACATTGCTTGCTGAACTAGTCTTGGAACAAACAGTCCATAGGTTTTCTCAACTGAGATGCAGGTGCTGTCGATCAAAGTGAATACCCTGTCAAGGTCCTGATCATGCAGCTGGAGATGTTGTTGATCGCATGATGGCAAGACAGGACAAAAAAGGACCGAAAGAGTAGCATGTGACAGCATGCTGCAGCATGCGTGCACCTCATAGGGCCGACTCATAGGGCATGAACATGGAATTGGAGGTGTGGGAGAAAGGGGCAAAATGTGGAGCTGAATGTGAAACGGCTCTCGCAGACAATGAACTTCGCCTAGTCACAGTCTTGGTAGCACAAGCTTGACGATTGTTCTGCATTGCTTTGCGTTTTCATGCGATGTTCAGGTTAGATGAGATCATTGACTATGGTCTGGACCCCAAAAGGCCCAAAAGGGTCAGGTGATGAATGATATGGCCAGGTCGCAGCAGCCTGGGAAAAGAAGCGCTTGTAATCTACTTACTGTAACTTGACACTGCAACTTGTTTGAAACGGAATCCTTTGGATTTAGCAATGCCAGCAGTCCCGTACGTACAAACAGAGCTGAGGGAGTTGTTCTTTTCTTTTTAAAGTAAGTAGGCGGCTACCAAGTAACCACGCAAGATCTCACGCTTCTTCAAGGAAGCTCCCACCGCCTGAGAGCGGGGTGGGAGCTTCCTTGAAGAAGCGCTTGCACTATTCATTTAGGCCTCTCATGGGGTGGATTGAAATCAAGCAGTGCGATTCGGTGTGGGCATCACATTTATTGCAGCGGTGTCCTGGAGCATCATGTCTTCTTGACGTCCATGGCTTCCGAGGTTATCCACAAATCTTGGAGGTTGATGTACTGAAGAAGTACATCACCCAGGCAGTAATGTGATAGACTCACGGTGCGAAGATGTTATGGTTTGAGAGCACCGAAAGCATTTCCCACGTTTACTTGCTCAGTCTGAGATGTGTTAGCAACAACCAAGAAATGCCAAACTGGCACTCAGTAGAAAATCAAGGCCTAGCCGCCTAGATGCCAGGCTACACATTTGTGCACCTGTTTCTGTTTCTGCCTGTTTCTTCTGTTCCGCTAAGCTTGGCCAGGGTGGTGCCAAGAACATTGACCTCAATGACCAGGAGCAGTTGAAAAAGATTACGGTGCAGGCACACAAAGGTTAGGAAGCCCCAGCTGTAGCTTGTTGCAGCTGGTCTTGAGTTTCTTGCCACTCAAGAATCCTTCAGAATGTCATAGAATACACCATCAAGTTTAAACCCGAAAGCCATTTAGTTGCAATTCGGTGAACATTTGGTATAACTCTTGACTCTATGACCAAAAGCTACTGCGGTCCTCTTGGCACCGCCAGGCCACTGGCGTGTGCTCTTGGCGCGCTGAAGGCATCAAGCACCGCAAGAATGAGGTGCTGCATATCCGCAAAAGAGCAATCGAGCGACTGCATGAACTGGTGGGAGAGTTTCTCAAAAAAAACGTGCGGAGAAAAGAGAAAGTCTCAAAACTTATGACTCAATTTGATGAATGATCCAGAATGAGCCTCTTCAGCATTCACTCCTTGGCATGGACGCTCATGGCGCAGGTATTTATTGATGTAATTGAAAATGCTGCAAGCTGAGTGTGATCCAACGGTTCTTTTGCAGCAGACTGCTGGCCATTCACACCAAGCAACAGTTTATTCAAAGCAGAACGCCCTAGTTGAGACTTTCACCCGGGCCACACCCGGTCGCTGAGGTGAACATTTTAATGTCTACAAAGAGGGAACGCTTGCGGGCCGATGCGCAGATCTGAGGGAAATGCACTTGGCAATACCATGCTGTGCCCATGGCAGAGAGAAAATACAGAAGGTCTATACACCCAGACTACTAGTCAGCAGGGAATATCCGGAGTTGAGTTTGGGGAATACCTGCAGTGCTTGTTTCCTCCATGTTGATGCTGAGGTCTCTGGGGAAATCCTCGTTAATTGCAAGCAGGGAAGCTCAATGACAACCTGACATTGCACTGCAAAGGGGCTTCGTGAACGGTTTTGCCCGGGGTTGACCAAGTTCAAGAGTTTTAGGTAAGCAGTTGTACAGCAATATCAATGCTATCATGATATCATGCATTATCTATGAATGACAAGATCCTGAGAGACTACCTTGGCCTTAGCCTCCAACACTCAAAAGCAAGGAGACTCCAATTGTGTGGGCTTCTGCTTTTGTTTCTTCTTGTGTGTTAGTTGGTTCTATGGAGATCCATACTCAGGCGGCATAGATGTATCGGGTTCGGTGTAGTTGCTCGAGTGCGCCCGCGCGCGTATAATGTATGAGCCTTGAAATCACCGGTAGTCTTTCGACATTTAAATGCAGGCAAGGCCTCCAGCGATGAACCTTGTCCAACGAAGGTAAATCGCTGGAGGGCAAGCGGATGGAGGCGTCCATTCGTGTACCGCTACGTTTGTGATTGTTATTATCACCCCACGTGGACCGTGGAGGTCTTCAGGCTGTTGCAGGATTATGCAGGTCAGCAAACATGCATTCTCGGTTTTGCGCCTTTGCACCTTCTGTATTTTGGCAATTTAGAACTTTAAGACTTTGAGACTATGGCGCCTTTGCACCTTTCGGAACACTTGGAACACTTGAATTGTCCTTTTGACCTTGGACGACCACACATCGCTGAATAGGACTAACTTGGTTTACTCTGGTGGCACATTCAGACCGTACATACTCCATCCTAAGTGTTCGTTCGTTCGTTCGTTCGTTTGTTTTTTTGTTTGTTGACTGCCTCAGGATGTTTTGTCCCTGCTCTAGTCCAGGGGAATTCTGATAATATGTTTTCAAGATTCTGGTTGTGTCTCAGGTTGTCCGGAATGCCCGAATGCAAATTTGGCATGAACGACAAGTTGCTTATGTCCGCTGCCGAGTTCTGGTAGAATAGCTGTCAAAGCATGTCATTTGATCCATTTGTTGCCCCGGTCCTGTTTCAGCTATCATTTAAGTAATTTGCGCTGTCATTTGGGCACCCATTCCATGCCTTGTGCCGTCACATTCGCCTTTCACGTCACCAAGGACTGACAAGGCGCGTGCGCGAAGCAGCGACAAAGGTATCGCCTTGGATGACTACAGGCGATGCCGAGCGCCGATGTTTGCGCGTACAGATGCGTACAGACTTTTGCATCTAGGCCGTGCGGAGGGGCAAGGCCGTGAGGATGAGTATATAAGTAGATAGTGTTCGGGCTTCAAAAGAAGCGGAAAAAACCAAGGTCAAAATATAAAAACCATGGTTCCTTTTTTTGGTGTGTGTGTGTTTCTGTTTTCATTCTTTTCTTTGTATAGACCCGTCTTTTGTACAGCAGACGTTTCATCCAAAGTCTACATTCAGCAAGTTGATGCAAGTTGTAACGATAGCAACATATTCTATAATGTAAACTGTATTGAACGTTTTACTTTTGCATAGTCTGCAGGTATGCCCCGCCTTTGCTGACTAGTATTGTTTGCTACATGGTTCTGACGAACTTGTGACTTGATTACTGCTTGATGTGTGGAAGTCCTTCAATTCAAGTGCCTTCAGAGTAAGTTCTATTTGTATCTCATGACCCATTTGTCCATGGACGACTGAGTGCCCTTTTTTTTAAACGTCCTTTGCACTCAACACTTGGACAGCTGCAAGCAGGTTTCACCAGTGCGTCCGACTGTCGAAATTCGATGTGGACCGCGAGATCACCTTTATCCCACCAGATGAGCCATTTCAGTTGATGACGAATCTTGGCCGAAGCTTTGCAATTGCGAAGTCCAGAGGAGCAGAGGCTTTCTGGTCCATGTTTGAAAGAGTTCAAATTCTTGTCATTTCTGGTTACATTGTGGTCCATCCTTCAATCTATCTGAGACAAGAAACACGTGTTCGAGGAAGTCTTGCAGTGAGGTATCGCATCACCGAAAACATTGAGAGCCCGTTCAAGCTGCTGCCCAACGTAAAGGCAGGACTGACGATGTTTGAAGATAAACTTCGGGCTATCGCAGCAACTACTGTAGGTCAAAGCCAAAGTATGTTCTATTGTGTTTTTTATGTCAAAGGGACGGATCACGGATCTGCGTGTTCTAGGAACCTTTTCGAACAGTAAGTGTTCTTGAAACAAGCTTCCTAATATAAACCTGAGGCCTCCCGGCTGTCCACCAATCACTCTCAGCCACAAGCAACATGTGACATGCTTGCCTTTTTCTGTTTCTTTTTTCAGAAGGTCTTGGGCCGCAGCCGGTTGGAGCTCAGCTTGCAGGTCACCGCGATGCTGGGAGCTTTGCAAAGATCAACTGCATTCCAATGATTCGTTGGGGTGTCTGACACTGCTGGAAGTCTCGTAGATAAGTAAATAGGCTTTGTTTGCAAGGTTGTCAAGCACCCTTCTTGGATTTTGCAGGTTTGTATCACTCTGCAGCTATTGCAGACAAACTATCAATCATCAGGGCCAATGCTTGAGGTACCCCCCAAATACAGCAGACTAGTAACAGCTGTGTGCGAATACCCAAGCGGCTCAGAAGACCTAGTCCTTGGACTTGTCATACTGGCAACTTGCTCAGAAATTCTTTGCTCGGACATTTTTGCACATTCTCTTGGCCTTTGCCTCGTTTTGCTGAGGTACGATCGCAACATTGAAGCCACCAATGCACAAAACTCAAGAGTTGGAGACAAATCGAAATTTGCCAACATGGCACAGCTGCTTTTTTGGGCTTCGCGGTTGATTCACACAGACCGGAGTATCCTCATAGTCACCATGGACCATGGACTTTAAGGACAGTCAGTTGTGTCATGTCTTGTTGGTTGATGCGGCCCAGGTTCGGATTGACTTCCCTTGCCCGAAAAACACGGCCAAGGCTCACATTCCAAACACAGCGCTTCTCGGCTTGAAAATTCATGTTCATGGAAGAACCTAATAGCACTGGCCTCCAACCTAACAGCGATGGCCTCCAATAGTGCTTGCCTCCAATCTAATGGCGATGGCATGATGATGGCCTCGAACCTAATAGCAATGGCCTCCAACCCAATAGCGACGGCCTCAAACCCAATAGCCATGGCCTCCAACCTAATAGCAATGGCCTCCAACCTAATAGCAATGGCCTCCAACCTAAGAGCGATGTTCTCCAACTCCAACCTATTAGCTATGGCCTCCAACTCGCCTCCTCCAACCTAATAGCGATGGCATCCAACCTAAGAGCCATGGCCTCCAACCTACGAGTGATGGCCTCCAACCCAAGAGCAATGGCCTCACCTAATAGCAATGGCCTCCATGAAAGACTTTGCTTCTTTGGCTTCTACACTGTCACAACTTGCAAGCACGAGAGGTTTGTTATCTCAAATTTTCAACTTCCCTGAGGCACGGAAAAGCACGATTTGATCCTGCACAGGTGGGACTCCTTGGGGCTCCGTAAGGCAACTGTAGGAGGAAACAGTAGCACGTCAAATGAATCATTATCCGTTTGTCACCTTTAAAGTTGGCTTGCAACAGCCAGGGTGCAGTGGTTTGGCGCATTCGGCGCTTCCCTGGAAGACATGAGTACAACCTGCTGGCCGAGGCAGGGGTCAAATTAAGTGAACACTTGTTGGGATGTGGTTGTGCTTTTGTCGTGATGATCCCAACTCAAATTGTTGGTCGACATTGCCGGCTGACCTAGAAACACACCGATATGTGTACCAGTATGCACTCATTCACACCGCTTCGCGGTCGAAGCCGCCCGCATCTGTGCGTCTGTTTGTCTCGGTCTGTCTGTCTCGGTCGTCTCCACAGGGGCAAGCACACAGGATGTCAATAATGCAGCCTCACTCGGGCAGAACAACCGACATCACCGATGCCTTGCTGATCTTTCGTCCGTTTTCAAAAGTCAAAAGCACCCCCAAGCTAAAGCTTGAGCTATACTATCTAGCAACTCAACTTCTCAGGACTCACAGGATGGATTGAGGATGACTGAAGCATCCTTGACTAAAGCCGTAAAGAAGGAGCTGACAGTCCACCTGTCCTGTAATGCGATCCTTCAGATTATTATGACTCCACCAGTTGCTTCATATTATGGTTCCACCAGTTGTTTCACGCCTTTTGAAAACCACTGCGAATTGAACAAGACTCCACCAGTTGTTTCATGCCTTTTGAAAACCACTGCGAATTGAACATTGAACAAAATGTAATAATTTGATGAGCCTTCCCAAAAGCGTCGCACCCGCGTTCATACTACTACAGTACCGGTCGTGTTTGAAGGCATTCTCCTATGCCAAATTCTTGGATTTGCTGACAAGCGGAGTGTTGCTGATATATTTGCAAATAGCATGAAATCCAAGACGATCAGATACGTATGTCTCAAATGAACCTCATGCGTTGGAGTGTGAGCGGAGGTTGTTGCCTGAACTACTTTGCTGTAGGTGGAGTTAGCTTCCACCATCACGGACAAGCAGTGGGTGCCGCATCACCATGCTTGGAAGGGGCCGTGGTGCTGCTTTGCCATATGTTTTTCTACACTGTGTGCTTTTTGGGCACAAGGTAACGCTTGCTGTGTCTTGTGTAACAGACCAGACGGCCCGAAAGACTTGTGCTGATTGATTGAAGTTAATGTGCCCTCATTACTTTCTATTGCTTTAGAACCGTTGACATTGAATATGAAGAAATGCTGTGTATTTGTCGCTCTACATATGTTCCATCGCCATGTTGTGAACTAGCCCCAAAAGTCGCCTGGAGGATGACCTATCAACCGTTGGCTCGAAGGAGTATTGAGAGTTGAAAGATGTTGAAAGGCATTTTCTCGAAGACGGGCCACCCACGGACTTGTTGTGCAAGATCTATTGTCACGCAGAATGATTCTAAGATAATCACAACTTGAACCTTTGGTGAACCAGAACCACTCACTAACCCAGTTCTTTCTGGAACTGCAAGACTTTCCACTGCTTCTTGTCCACAGTCTCGCTGCTGCCATGGTGAACTACGACAAGAACGTCCAAGGAGGGGGTTGGACAACTGAAAGACGGTTGCTGGCGCTTTTGTATCTCACCATATCTCAAACTTGAACCTGTATCAGAGAGGAAGGTAAGATTGATAGACCGTCGGTTCATGTTATTTCATTGATTGTTGGCATGCGACATGATTGGTTGGTGGTTCGCGAGTTTTTTGGGACACGCCGGCTTGAGCTGCCGAGCTCATAGCTCATGGTACTGCCGAGCTCATAGCTCATCGTACTGCAGGAGCCAAGCGTGAGGCAGCTCGCCAAGCCCATGAGGCCTCGGTCGTTGTCGTGCTATTGTTCTCAGGGTGGTTCAACAAAAAACCTTCAGATCCGACCCAGAAACGAGGGGAGGAAGAAGGACAGTATGGGCCCCTGAACTTTTTGTTCCATTGTTTTCCTACTTGTCCAACACATCAGTTCTCTTGTGTGTTTTAACAGTGCAGCCTGGCCTTGATGCAGAAAATTCACTTGCCTTTTGTGAAGTTCAGTGGACCTTCGTTACAAGCAGTTTTCTTTTTCGGTGTTGGCGAGTCGCAAAGTGAGCTTGAGGTGGCCAACAGACCACCTCAAGGTGTCAATCAGATCTCCCAAACGAATTAGACACCATGAACTAAATACCAGTAATTGGACACCATGACTCTTCAATTTGCACCTGTCACAAGGCAAAGGTCAAAGCCAAGCAGGCACACTTGGGTCTTTGTCTTGCTGGGTAAGGCTTTGCAGATGCCAGTCATAGTTATGAATGATGCAGGCTAGTGTGGCGGCAGTTTTTCCAATACTTCGGACTTTTGTGCATTGATTGGTTTGTGTCAAGCACATGCCTCACAAGCCACACACACCCATACCGAAGCCTGGTTCCCAAAGCTTTAGAGTTGGCCAAGCGTGGAACATGTGTGACAATACATTGACCGTGTCTTTTGATGACTAGCCCTGTTCTGGGAAGTCTAGCGGAGTCTAGCAACAGTTTTTGATATCATCTTGCACGTTGGTCTAATACATGGCTTTGACTAGAACAAGAAGAGATCAAAAAGATGTGACTTACACTGCCCCGCTTCGAAGTATTGTTTTAGAATCTGTGCAGATAAGGTAATGTGATCACGTGGCTGCCAGGACAAGGAAGATGCTAGAAGAGCAGCAGCCAGGGCAAAAAGAGATGTGGCATGGCTGCAACAGGGCCTTTTAGATATGCACCGCGCTGTTGTTATGGGCAAGGCTCACACCCCCTTCGTCACAGGTTCTCATAATCAATGTTTCTTGTGCATAAGCGAACCCTTGTTTGGATTATTTCCTCAAGCCTAAGCCAGCCAACACCACCTAAGCTTGGCCCGTGCAAGCCTTTGCGTCATGGGTGGATCAGAAAGCCTTTTGGCCGAGGCTGATATTTGCGGTTGAAGGTGGCAAGCGCTTCCGCGTAATAAACACCTTGAAAGAACCAACCCTAGCAGTGCCAATACGCCATGCAGCCACATGTATATTGATGCACTAATGGAAGTGCGAAAATGGTTTTCTGTCCTTCATGCATTGCCATCCAAGGAGAGGAACAGGCGCAATTAGCTCGCGTGACGAAAGTGACTGTCAACTTCTTTGATGCCTCAGCAGATGAGATTTACTTTAACAGTAACATGAAGACCATTGGTTCCGTTGTCTACCATGCCGTGCGGCATTCACAGCCATGCTTCCGTGAACTTTCAGGCAGCTCTTGGAATCTATAGCCGAGCAGATTGACCAGCCGGAAACCCATCCACAAGCAAGAGTCAGAAGTCTTGCAAGATAGACAAGCTATTTGGATCCAATGGATCGACTAATCGCACCATTGGACTACTTCAGACATAGCAACACTCGCTCCCAGCAGAATTGAATAAACAAACATGTACTCCTGATGCAATGAGCGCATGACCAAACACTTGAAGGTCTGAAGAGCATGCATATGCAGAAGTTTATAGTGAACTTTGCCAAGAGGACTGGGGTGTGAAATTGTGCAGGGGCTCAACGTATTACATAGAGCTCTCACCTTTGCCTTTGCATGTGGCTTTGTGACTTTGTGTCGATCCTATACACCCAAAAGACCTGCTAGCACGGCACATGGATTTTATGCACCAGCGTGTTGTGCAGGAGGAGTCACCATCAGTATTCAACCCGCAGGCAATGGAGTTGCTTCAGATCTAAGTCAGTTGAACGCAAACGATATATTTCTTGAAGGAATTGATTCTATGATAGTCAAAATATCACATACAGTGGTAACCCCTAACTTGCTGTGTCATGAAGTGTTCATGTACAGGCTTTGACGTTCGTTCCGACCGTCGCTATGGCTCAAGAAACGATTGCGCCCGCGGTCGTTTCAGCGCTCGTGCACGTCGCTTCGTTCGGTCGCGCCGTGTCACTTCGCTTTCGTGCTTTTCGTGCATTTCGATAGGTTGCCGTACCGTGCTCCCTTCGTCCGCACGACACCTCGTTCGCAACGGGTACCAATCCTTCCGGTGTTCCCCGTCGCGTTCCATCCCGTGCCAGGGTTCTCCACACGATAGGATACCTTTCCCAACACCTCCCACTCCGTAGGTTGTGGTGGCTGTTTGGGGCTGATATCCCGGAACCCTTGTCACTTTCATTGGTTATCAGCCGTAGGTCTAACCAACCTACGAGCTCTAATAGTCCGCCTCTTTTAGACATAATGCCAAGGGTTACACCTCCTAGGTCCCCACGCCCTGAGCCTGCGCAAGCCGCAGCCTCTGGCGCGGATTCGTCGCTAGGACCAAGTGTTGCCCCCAATCCTGACCCAAGATCCCAGCCAGCAGCCGCCATGCAAGCCGCTGCTCCAAGCGCGGATTCGTGGGGAGCTGGCAAGGGTGTGGCAGAGGTTGAGGTGACGTCCTTGTCGGAACTCGGTTCACAAGCCGTTGATGCTTTGAACTTGTTCGTTGACAACCAAGACCCACCAGCCGCTGCCGCAGGCGCGGGTTCAGATAGCTCGAGATGGGCAGGAGCAGCCTCTAGTGCAGGATCTGGCCCGACCATCTTTCCGCCTTCCGTGATGGAACACGAGGACAGAGACCTCGAGCTTGAAGAGCCCTTCGCTGGTCCAGCAGACCAAGAGGTTTTGGACGATGCTGAGGCCAACCCTTTCGATAGCCCCACAGCCGAAGGCCAACAGGCCCCCGTGGTTGAGCATTCGTTAGGTGATACCCAAGTGCATCCCTCCCCTGACCAAGACCATCCGGTCCCAGAGGAGACGACCTCGGCTAGTGCGAACGCCCCCAATCTTGCAGACCAAGGCGATCCAGCCCCTGCGGAGGAGGAGCCTGAAGAGTTCGTGCCACCCGAAACCCTAATTGCCCAGGCCTCACCAACGCCTAATAGTCCTCCCCTCTCCACTAACAACTTGTTCGATCCTTTGGGTGAAGACGAGGACTCCTCAGCCGAGGAGGCAGTGAATGAGGAGATTGCCCAACGCATTCAAGAGCAGTACGATTTGGAGACTGCACTTAAGGAGTCCGCTCAAGCCGCAGGCGTTGAGCCTGAGCCAGCGGATCTAGGTATCGGTGAAGCCGCTGCCACTGGCGCGGGAAGGGGTGAGAGAGATCGCACCCGACGGAGGGGGTGTCGTGCCGGGGCCAAGCGCGTTGCAGGCCGCGAGAACCTCTCCTATGGGACGACGTGTGAATACATCAGTGCCCAACTTGGTGATTCCACGTACGCGCGGTTCGGCCGCCGCTTCAATCTCCCTCACATTCCCCCGCAAGTCGCGCGCAGGCAGTATCCGGAGTGGTTCGGGTACGTCCTTCGCCATTCCGACAGGTGGGCTTTCGATGCAGAAGGTGAGCTTTTGCCGGTAGATACCATCACTCGATGGGCAACTATCTTACCTGAGCTCTGGCAATTCTTGTATTCGATCGATCCCACACTATTGCAGGGCATGCCACAACCCAAGTATAGACTGCCAAGAGGGTACTGGAGTTCGGACCATCCCTTCGTGCCTCTCCGCCATGTGCGTTCGGCCGCTCCGCCCAGGACAGTGTTCAACTCCGATTCGAAGGCCTCGTCTTCGGCCGCGCCTCCACGCGCCGATCGGTCTCGATCCGCTGCTCGACAGCCAGTGCCTCGACAGCAGGAGCGCCTTGGCGCCCTACGCTTGAGCGTGGGCATACCCCGATTGTGTTGACGCCTCGTTCGCAGGTTGAGGCCAAGGCCTCAAAAGCTAAGGCGGGTAAGTCAACGTCAAAAGGGATTGAGTCCGAGCCAAAGTCTGTCCCGGCAGAGCCGAAGACCACGCAAGCCGCAGCCTCTGGCGCGGGTACCTCGCATACGTCTGCCAGCAAGCCGGTCCCACCTAGTCCTCCCCCGAAAGTCCCGCCGGTCATCTCACCGCAGGCCAAAGGGTCGACCCAGGTCAAGGCTGGAGCTACGTTCGTAGAGGTCCCTATGCCATCATCACCCCTTCGACTTCCACCTCCGCCCAAGGGTCCGGCACCAAGTCCGCCGACAGAAGCTAGCTCACAAGACGGTCCTTCGTACGTTGTCCCGTTCGAGCCGGCGCCATCCGTACCATACGGTGAGTCGGAACCTCTTGATGCCCCGGGACCAAATGAATATAGCTACCGCGGTCCCCTTAAGCCGATGATACCTAAGTGGACTCGTAGCAACCCTGAGCAAATCCCGGTACTCAGACCCGTCAAAGCGGAGCGGTGCCTCCTGTTCGTCGCGACGCCGATCAACTCGCATGAACAAGACGATACCCTCGAACCACAAAGCAGCGATCTCGCACATGCTAAGGCTGACGCATCCAATGCGCTGGGCGGAGCAGCTCTTCGTGGTGATCTCGAGCAAGCATTGTCGCAGGCAAAGCCAGAGGTCACGGTCGAGGAGGAGGAGGACGTGAGGCGCTCGAATCAGATCAGGACCAACCGACAACGAGTGCAAAAGCCGCTGCCTCTGGCGCGGAACCAGTTCGTCCGGTCGTTATGACCCTGGGTCCCGGTGCATTCATTCATCGACATTTGACATCCTTTCGCTTTCGTAGGACCCAATGGGACCGTGAGCATGAGCATTCAATGCCAATTGAAGAAGCTCGAGACCGCGTGTACGACCTTGACTGGTCTAGCACTCCTCAAGCCGAAGGGGACCAGTTGCTCCCATCGTCGTCTACCATCCAGGTCAATCCGAATGCAGATGTGTATGAGCTAGATGCAGAAGATTCGGACAATTCCGATCCTGAAGCCCGCTCCCGACGCATTCGTAACCTAGAGGGTCGAACCGAGGACGCCGGCTGGCTAACCTGGCTTGACGGTGAACGTCCCAAGGGCGCCCTAGCCCATCATCCTAAACCTAAACTTGCCGAGCCAGCATCCAAGCGAGTTCGTGTCGTCGTAACCGCCGATGCACTAAAGGGGACGCCCCCCGTATCGCCCCCGCATGTTCGACAAGTGATTGTAGTCCCTAAGAATAAGCCTAAGGGTGCATCAGTAGCTGCAGGTCCTAGGGTCCCACTCCATGAGCCCCAACTGTCAGCAGCCACTGAAACGGTGTTGGTGCCATCCGGTCTGCCTCAGCCGCCGCCTCAGGCGCGAGATACAGCCCAAGCAAGTGCTACGCCAATTGCGCCTCCGGTGTCTCAGCCGCCTGTCGTCAAAGCGTCGAAGTCCCACAGCACGCCGCCTCCGGCGGTATCAATCGAGTCTTCGTCAGCTTCTCCACCACCGCCAAAGCCGCCTACGACGGCGCGCCCTGTTCGTTCTAGGTCTCCTACTAAGGTTAATTAAGCCACCGCCGCCCGAGGCGAGACAGTTATCTGCCGAGGCCAAACGGCGAGCTTTCGAGGCCTTCGAAGAGCGTAACAGACCCGTGCGCGTGGAGACCGACAACACAGGCAAGCCGCTGCCGGCTGGTGCTCGTGTACCAGTTGGCGCGGGACTCACGGCTGCAGCCCCGTCTGATCCAACTCCACCCGGGGATGGTGACGACGACCAAGGCGAGCCATCGACCCCAAGATCCCCTAAGCAACCCCCAAGACCTAAATCACCTGATCGACCACCTAGCCAGCATACCGCATCGGGGCTTCCATACAAGACCCCGCCAGGTTCGCTAACTGGAAGATCAGCTTCTTGGGAGCGGGATCCAAGTCGACAATTAGAGCCAGCTCCTCCGAGACCTGTAACTCCTAAGAGGAAGCCACCACCACCTAGTCCTTACCCATTCCCATATGGTAAGCCTGCTGGTGTACCGTCAGTGCCTCATGATACCGCATGGGCCTCGCAAGCTGCCTCTTCGGCAGCCGCACCTCCAGTGTTAGACAACTCGTGGTGGGCACCTACGGCTGCTTCACGCGCCGACAGTCATGAGGAGCCGCCGTCCGGTGGAAGACTTGCCCCGCATCGACCTCCTTCCGGTAGTCCCCCCTCTGACACACCTAGGAGCATACAACCCACTACGAGATATCAGCCTAACCAGTTGCCCCGCTTGTTCGGACAGCAACTTGCTGATCCCCTAACACTAATTCCCGCACAAGCCGGTGTGTTTGAGGTAGGCCTTGACTGGCATAAAGTGTTAGACACTATGCTGTCGCCTGTTCGCACTCCGACAAATATCTTGACGGACCGCCTCAAGCAACTCGAGTCATTACCGGCACGCATCACCATCATTTCCTTTACCGGAGCGGGCGACCGCTACGAGTCAACGGTTCAGGAAATTGATGCATTCCGGGACCAGTGCCGTGCCGCCGGATGTCAACTCGGCGGAGGTTTCTTTTTGACTAACGAGAAAACCGGGCGCGGCGGGAAGGCAGAACTAATAAGCCGTCTTCGAATCAGAGCTTTCATGGATGACCGTGCGGACATCCTCGCCGAAATTCGAAGAACAGGCTGTTCTGCCATGGGCTTTAATGCCCGTGACTATCCCCAGGAGACTAGTGGGGCAATACAGGTGTTAACCGACTACATATGGTCGCGCCTAGCCCACTGGGACGCTCACCATCCGCTACAGGCCTTTGTGCTTCAACAATACTCGGGCCAAGGCGGTCGTGGCGGCGGCCGCCGTCGCCGGTGACCTGTCATGCCAGCCGCTGCTTTACGCGCGGGCCCTTCGTTCGTTAGGGTAGGCATGTTCCTGGGTGCATTGATGATCACATGTTTTATGACCTCAAACAACCATACCATTACTTTCAACTTTGTTGTTGTTGTTTTGGTTTCATGTTAATGCACTCGTGCCGCTGCCCATTGGCGCGGAGGCCATGCTGCTGAAAGCGCGGGCCTGGGCAAAGACCCTTTCGTTTCGCGCATGCAAAAGTCTGCTAGCACGCCGTGGGGAAAGGATGGCGAACCATACAGGTATCACACCTCCCTCGGACCCCTCCTCCGCCGGTCGGTCTCGCTCGTCGCCAGAGTTCGACACAGCCACAAGCAGAGGTAGGGTCCCGGCCGCGTCGGTCACCATCACCACCAGAGCCCGGGGTACGCGTCAGAATCGCGTCGAGCCCCGCCCTGGTCCCAGGACAATGGCGGAAGAGTCACGTTCGTCGGAGGAGCCCAGGCGGCACCGTGGCGCGAGTGCGCGTGGCAGGGAGCTTTTGGATAGGGGGGTTCCTAGTAGTTCTAGTCAACGACCGGTACCCTTCATATCACTAGCTTCCGTGCCTAAGCCGTCCCAACCTTACACTAATAATCCGATAGACCCTAATACGCCGGCGGCTGCTTTTGTAGCCGGAGCAGCAATACAAGAGGCCAACCAGGCCGCACACATAGCGCACCACGCCGCGTCGATGGCCGAACAACAAGCCATCGAAGCGATGCGGGCTAGGCAACTAGCTGCCCAAGCCGAAGAACATGCGACCCATGTCCAGTCCCAGGCTCAATTCGTTGTCCATGAAACTCGCCAGCAGGCTGAGAACATGGTAGGACAAGCTAGGGCTCAGGCAGAGGCTATGGTCGGTCATGTGAGGGCTCAAGCTGAACAGTACGTTCAGTCCCAACAACATGAACATGTTCAGCGTCAACGCCAATTGGAGCAACAAGCTCATCAATGGGCGTCCGGTGTGGAGGCCGCATATCGTGCCCATGTAGACCAGGTCAACACGACCGCAAGTGCCGAACTGTTGGAACTTCAGAGGCACAACGCTTACTTAACCCAGCAACTACAATTGGCCGCGAGATCGCCAGTCCCAAGTTCCCCAAAGGAACCACCGGCAGTTTCTCCAGCGCCCTCAACACAACCGCTTCACAGCGTCCGTTCGACATTGAGCCACCAGTACGAAAGCTCCGAGTTTGCTGCGCCTTTTCAGGCGGCCCAGCATAGCAATATGCCTCCGACAGCACAACCTGTCGATATGCAAATTCCAAAGAGTTTTCAAACGAGTGCTCCACAAGAATTCTATGTCGGAACGCCTGTCGGCACACCACATGGTGTTGCCACCCCTGTGCAGCGTGACTCAACTTATGTTGCTGCGCTCGAACGTGAGCTAGGTCAGACGAGGGAGATGTTGAACCAAGTCTTGTCGTTAGTGCATGCTGGACCGGCAAATATCCCCTCACCACCTGAACATGGAGTGCCTATGCCATTTCGTATGGCGCCGACACCACCACCAGGTCTTCCGACCCAGGTACTAAGTGCGTGTCCGAAGCCTTGCGCATGTGCTCCCATGCCGGCCGGGTATCCCACTTCCGCCGCGAATGTTGCAGCGTCTTCGACGCAACCACCTCCACCACAACCAGGAGCAAGGGTCTTGCCACCTTCTTTCCCCGTTTTTGAGCGGACCAAGAAAGCAGATGGTGGTAGCTCCCCGAGTTCGTCCTCTTCGTCTAGTGATAGCGAAGTAGAAGACTCGTGTAGGATGTGCGGAGGCAAGCATCGGGAGATTAGGTGCCCACATCTCACTATGAATAAAGAAGATCATAAAGTAGAATCAACCCCGACTGCTAGTTCGGAAGTTACCGACTATGCGGAACATGAGTCCGAGATTGTTTATGTCAAGGGCTTGACAAACCTGATTCTACCCAACATACCAGTTGATTCGGGTCAAGCACGGGGCTACATCAACCAGGTTCTCATGAACATCGGTTCGTTGCAGAAAACCCCAGGTTCAGACTTGTATCACTGGGCCCAAGAATGTCTTACCAAGGACGATTCCGCCCTTCGTGGTGACAAGCGGTTCCCTAGAACTGATCGGGAGATTGCCACGAAAATGTTGAAGGTGTGCAAATCAGGTAGATTTGGTATCATTTTTCAACGGATGGTGGAAGAATCTCGACTTTCTGGTATTGGCATGCCTTGTGGTCGCGTCACGCTTGCTAGGATTTTTCGTCATTTTCAATTAGAGAAGGACAGAATCGGCATGCTAGGCGAGAGGAACCTCCTGACCCTAAGGCTAATTGGGACAGAAGACCGAGGACCTCATAACCTTCCAGGAGAAGTACAGATACATCCTTGCCGCGATTCCTTCTGAGGATCTGCCGAGAGAGACAACTCTGTTTAATCATCTTTTGGACGAGCTTGAGCAGTTCTCCCATTAGCCGCCAAAATAGCTAAGTCAAGGGAGTCCCCACTAGGAAGCCATCGTCGGTCCACTAAATGGTTGTGGGAGAAGGTGGATTTGCATATAGAGTTAGAGCGGATCAAAGCTAACAGGCAGGCCTTCGATAAGAAGTTGCGGGATTCCCATACTGCCGATTTAGCCACCACATATAACCCTAAAGCAATCCCCGCTAATCCCGCCAAGACCGATAAACCTAAGAAAGAGAAGTCCAAGGAGGACAAAAAGAAGGAAAAGAAAGAAAAGAAAGAAAAGGCCAAGAAGGATAAACAACAGCCTGTTGATGTTCACGCAGCCCCGGGCCCCAAGTCTAAGGCTCCGAAAGGCCCACCAAAGGCCAAGCCTAAAGGCAACACGCCAACACCTCCGACCACGCCAAGGTCACAGCAGGTCAAACGCGCGGCCGACATGACCGCCCAGGAGAAAGCGAGAACACCATGTGCGT